GGAAAGGGAGAGCCCAAGCCCCCCTGCCTGGCCGGCCCAGCAGGGGACTCTGCCTTCCTGAAGAGGACAGTGTGGCCAGAGACATGTCTCTAGCTCGCGAGGTTTCTAAAGGTCGCCACTAGGGTAGGCACTGTGGGGGTCCGGGGGCCTGGCCTCATTTGGGTCTCTGCATGGCAAGCCCTGGGGTAAGGCCCCCACAAGGCACGGGAATGCTTGGATTCCACGCCATCCAGGCCGGACACAGGGCAGGTCATTGTGAGGATTGCACAGCAAAACGTGCCTCTCTGCCTCTGGGAAGGGAGCAGGTGGGGTGCGGCGCTGCCGAGGAAGCCACCAGAGCCAACGGTGCCCGGCCCCACCCCACAGGGCCAGGGTCAAATGGCCAGGTTTTCAGAGCCCCCTTTGGGTGACGTGTGGGCAGGTCCTGGAGGGCTCAGTGCCCTCAGAGATGAGTCTCACTGTCCTTGGCCCATTGTAGCGGAACAATCAGTGACAAGACAAACGAGAAACTTGGGCAGATCGACTCAGAGACAAACGCTCTCCAGGGCGCAGCGGAACCACATCTGGGGGACTTGGAATTCGCAGCAGCTTTGGGCCCGAAGCCCTCGCAGTTGGGCTCCTTCACTGCTGACTGCAGCCCTGAGGGGGCAGGGGTCGTCTTGTGAGGCCCTCGGGTCAGTCCCCCGCCGGGTGGCCTGCTTCCCTGCCCAGTTCCTAAGGGTCCTTTTCCAAGCAGGCTGCTCATCACGCCACGTCCTCGGCACCCTTTATATTGTGGGGTGGGGTATCCGAGGCCGGCTGGGCTTTAAAGGGCCCATGGTCCCACCAAGGACGCCCCAAACATTACAGCTCAGCTTCTACCAGAGACCTGGAAATAGCAAATAGCTCCTTCTTAAAATAACAAAGACCGCTTTTCTTTGGAATATTAAAAAAATTGAAACTGTGTGAGAGAATATCTCCCTCTTCACCGACTTAGTTCATTCTCTCTCACACTGGGAAGAGAACATCTGCAGAGGAAAATCAAGCACTCTCAGTG